TTTCGCCTTTCGTTAAAAAGAAAAAAATGTCCCCCGCGGGGCTCGCCTCGTACAGTTCCTGCCTCGTCATCGCCCCGTGCCTCGTCCAGCTTTCAAAAAATCTCCCTCGCGAGGACCGCCCCGTGAGGAATCGCGAGGACCGCCCCGTGAGGAATCGCGAGGACCGCCCCGTGAGGAATCGCGGGGCCTCGCGAGGATCCTCGTCCATCGCCCACCTCTGCTCTATATAACGGGTGGACCATAAAGAATGGCGGTCTCGATATTTCGTTAATATCTCTCAATTTTCATTATCAAGGCTTCAACTCTTTTTCAAAAGTTTTGTCATTTCATTCTCTACAGAAAACATAATGAACATTTTTTTATGTACCGTAGGAATAAAAGAATGTAGGTGAAGTACTGCGAAGCTGCCGTGTTCATTACTTTCAAACCCAAAAAACAGTTTTTTAATTCTAGTTCTTTGTATTTTGCGATACAGAATTAGAGAAGATGACCGTTTAATAGCCCTTGAAAAGATCTATCAATTAGCTATGTTTACAACTTTACATAATCCCAATTCGTTGCGCTAGAAGGTTTTGTTTATACCGATTTTATCAAACATCACTGTTTTCAAACTGCCGTTTTGGTGACATTTGAGAAAACTTTTACAAATCGGCCAAAATCAAATGTTTTGAGGTCTTGTATGTCTTGTCTTGAAGAAAAATAATTCTGTTACATCCGAACAGAGAAAGTTCGATAGCTCCATTTCCTTTCCACCAACAAGGCCAAAAGGTTGAAATTTTCCTGTTTTTGGTAGACTGTAGTAAAATTGCCTGTTGTATCAGAATAACACATTCAAAGCCAACCCCTGATACATGAAAAGAAAGATGACACTACGAGCTACCAGAACATACGTTTTGATTCTACTTTGTTGGATACCATCGTGTTCAAAATAAACATCTTTTCGTTGTGTTTTCGGTTTGAAAGTAATGGACACGGCAGCTTCGCAGTATTTCACCTACATTTTTTTATTTCTACGGTACATGAAAAAATGTTCATTATGTTTTCTGTAGAGAATGAAATGACAAAACTTTTAAAAAAGAGTTGAAGCCTCGATAATGAAAATTGAGAGATATTAACGAAATATTGTGACCGCCATTCTTTATGGCCCACCCGTTAAATAAAGTTGATTGCGATGAGAGAAACTGACAAAATTTATCAGTCGGAGCATGTGATTAGTTGGTATAAAATAATTCAATTTCAATTCGACTGATAAACAAAGCGGTACGAACAGAAAATTTTGATATGCTGTTCGAACAGGAATTTTTCGTTGTTGACATGAACAGTCAGCTACTACAGTCGAACCGCAAATTTTTACCGTGGAAACGGATATCTTAACTGTTTATTAGAGACAGTGCATGTTCGTATATATTCTAAAATGATGCAAAATAATGTTGTAGAATTATTATTGATAACGCTTTTTTCGATACAACTACAGATCAGTAAGTAGCTCAAGAAGAGTCATATGTAATTTCTCAAAAAAACTGTGTTTTAGATTGAATCGATCATAAAGAAATGAAATATGGTGGATCCAATAGGAATGGAAGACTCTAGCATACTGATATCCCTCAGAGCTGTAACCGATTAAGGATTTTCTAACCGGTCCAGTCCGGCCGATCACCGGCCAATTTGAAAGACTTTCGAAGCCGGTTTATTAACTTTTCAACTGTGAGGTTCTACTCACTCACTTCTCATATTTATTTGTATAAAGTGAACGGCTATATATAGCACAAGAAAGAAGCAACAGTTGTGCAAGGGTTGCGCAGGAACAGAAAGAGTTGGGAAAATCAGAGGATGACACAAGTATTGCGCAAGAACAGAAAGAATTTGGAAAACAACTGCAAAACAGAAAAGAAAGGATGACACAAGTGTTGCGCAAGAACAGGATTACGTAAGGATAGTACAAGAACACAATGAGTCACGAACGAAATGAACAGAAAGAAAGGAAAAGAAGAAGAGAACATAGTCTTATGAGCTGCCAGGAATGGCAGATCATAACATTAACCGGTGAAAATCAGTGGTTTTAAAAATTCGTTTTTCTCAATTTGCAGGACTTTTTTTAGGATTTTTTCAAGAAGGGTCATGTCGCCGCCGTTAAAATCCGTAAGCTCACCAAAAGTATAACAGTCGCATTTCTGCGCCTTGAAACAAAGATCCATTCCTCCTAATGTTTTCTGACACAAAAATAAAAAATAAAGTCTATTCTAAAATCTAGAATCTTGTTTTCTAGAAGTGTTTGTGAGACATGTGTATAGACTTCAGAAAAAGAATTTGAGTTAAAATGGATAAGAAGAGGTGTAATAACAAATAAGATCATGTGACACTGTTTTGATTGTGCTCTTCAACACTTCCACCGCCAAATACGTCGTTCGACGTATCCATATTGAAAGCGAGACGGGTACATATGCAAAAAAATGCCTGGCGCTGAGGATAAAGGCCTTATTTGAAACGCCCGGCAGTGAAGGTGTTAAGGGGAAAAACAACCTAATCAGAGAAAAAAGGAGTTGAGAAGAACAGAAAAAATACAGCTGATATTTGGAAACCAAACTGTTTTACTGTTTTGATAAAAGTACTAAACTTGCTCTCGTAAAGTTCAACCGGTCAGTTACGGCCAGACCGGACTATTTACAAGTATGATATATCTCTCTCATTGATTTCTGGAAATGTCGGACGCGATAGCTAACTTCATTTTGTATCATGAGTTGAACGCAAGTGTTTTACAACATTTAGTCCATGTTCCACAGGGAACATGGATTTCTTAAAAAAAGGCGCTGTTCTAGAGAAAACTAATTAATATTTCATACGCTTGATGACCGCGTGATGTTATAGAGTCGATAATTCAACGATGTTACTAATTTTTACATGGAAAGAATTTGTTTGACCATTCATCATCAAGAAGCTTAATTTAGCTCATTGTTTTGCACAATAAGAACTTATGATAATCAAATGATTAACTAGATTAGTATCATAAAGGATTTAAAATTTATTAGTTAGTTATAAAATACCCCGAATAACTCTACTCTTCATTTATTTGTTTTCATCACGTGACGAAGTATTTTAAATACTTCTTCTTTTTTACTGTAGTCTAGCTAGTACAATACACTAGTGGAATGTTCTTTTTCTTTGTTTTTTGTGTATGCGCGCACATACTATGATGAGAGAGATAAAGAAAAAGAGAAGGCAAAAATGGACTGCTTCATGCTCACTTCTAACTTAACTATAGATCTACAGCATGTAAAATGTACAAACATCTTTTCCTTTTATCACATTTAAAACAGTATTTTTATGTTATATCGGTATAGCAAACGCTTATTTCTCAGAACTTTTTTCAGGATCATTTAAATTTATTTATTATATGGCATCAACAGTACAAACCATTACAATTGCTCCTAAAGGACGTGGAAGGAGTAAGCCAACATTTAATTATATTTCTTTGATCTGTTTTATTCGATTAAGAGTTGCTTGATCGAATAAAACAGAAGTATAAAGAAACTAGACTTTTGTTTCTGAGAAAAAAGGTTGCATTTAAGATTATTTGGAGCTGGGCAGTAAACAGCGCCATTGTATCCCACGTATTAGTGGAAAATCATTACAAGTCTGTGATCAGCATTATTCTATAAAGTTCCTAGAGGAGAAGCTCTAGTGTATAGAAAATGTACCTATATGGGAGCCAGTTATAATTTCCTTTCGGAACATAATACCATTCTAATTTTGTTTCAAGGCCGTCCGGCAGCAAACGGTCCTCCTGAACCTGGCTCATTACCAATTTCAATTGGATGTACTGAAATAAAATCAATGGAAAATGAATCATCATCTGAAGCTACTCCACAAACAAATGGTCCTACACAATCGAAACCTCCACTAACTAGTAGTCACATAGCAGTACAAGATCTTTCTCAAGTAAAAACTGTCTCCGTACTTCGTCGATCACAATCGGTGAATCTTGTTCAATTACCACCACCACTTGAACAACAAAATGGAATAGCAGCCAAAACATCTACATTATCAAGAACGTCGCCAAAACCAAAACGTGCAAGATCCGGACCACGACCATCAATTCGTTCATTGGTTCCACAAACAGAAATATTAAAAATAGCCGAAAGACCAGACAACGGTGGTACAAGAGGACGAAAAACTGAACTATATACTAATCATTATGCATGTCATTTACCAGAAGAATTATTAATTTATCAATATGATTGTGATTTGGGTAAGTAAAGAGTTTTATTATTCTACTTTATATTGTGATACATTTTTATTTTTTAAAGATGTTCAACAAAATGGGAAATGGTTAAATGCATCACGTAATAAATACGATCGATTTAATATTGTTCAACAAATAATACGTCATGAAACTAGTTTCCCATTTGTCTGGTTTGATGATGGCAAAAATTTATATTCATTATTACCGTTAAACGATTTAAAAAAAATTTATTTCGTTAAAGTTCAACAGCAATCATTTCGTTTTACTATTAGACAACAGACACGTGAATATAACATAAAAGATATGAATTTATTTTCGAAAAAAGATAAATCATGTTTAATGCGTCCACAAGATTCTATTAGAAATATTGAAACATTATTAAAACAAACTATTCGACAAAAGATGATTTGTATTCGACAACAATTCTATTATGATAAAGAGCAGCAAATAATTGATATTGGTAAGTCTGATTTGCCATATGGAGAGCGAGAGAGTAAATTTTAGCATAAACTGCGACTAACTTCGAGTAAAACAACTATTGACATTTTCTGATTAATCATATTTTTGGTTTCAAGGTAGTGGAATCGGTTTGGCTCGTGGATTTTATCAAGCAATGTTTTTAACCAAAGCTGGTCCAACATTGAATATTGATACTAAATTCTCGGCATTTTATCAACATATGAATTTAGTCGATTTTATTTCACATTGTTTACAACGAGATATTATACAAACTGGATTATCGGAAAAAGAACAAGAATATTTGCTCAGAACTCATTTAAAACCAGTATCAATTGAAACACGTCATACAAATTCACGAATGAAGTATCGAATACACGGTTTTGGTGCATCAGCTAATGTGCATACATTTGTACAAACAGGTAACGATTTGAATTTTGTTAAAAAGAATGTTCTAAGATGATATTCTGCATACAAATGTACTTCAATAACCTTATGTCGCTAGTTCAAGTTGTTCTTGCATCTTTTAGGTGATGAAGAAGAACCTCAGATATCAGTGACCGCTTACATACTGAAGAAATGGAATAAAAAACTGCAATATCCACGTTTGCCAACTGTCGAAGCCTACAATCCCGGCAATAAAAATTCATCACACATTCCCATGGAACTTTGTTTTATTCAAGAGTGGCAGTTAGTTGATCAAAAACATTTAACAGGTGAATATCAGTGTGTCAAACTTTTTCTTTACTAAGATCAATATTCGGTAATTTTAGGTGAACAAATTGGAGAAAAAACAAAAAAATCTGTTGTAAAACCTGAACAACGATACAATGATATTATGGAAATTGTGAGAAAAAGACAATTCAATTCTGGTGAATATAGTAGTCCAATTTCAATGCCCTGCTATTTTTAATAGGTTCTTAATTTAGATTCGTACTTGCGAGAAATTGGTATGACTGTAGAATCTGGTGAAATGTTAAAAGTTCGTGCACGTGTACTAGAACCACCAGAAATTGAATATCGGGATCAAAACGTAACGGTACAAATTGGAAAATGGCCAATAAAAGGAAAACAATTGCATGAAACAAAACAAATAAAAAAATGGGCAATAATACTAGTGACTGGACAAGTACTAAGAAATGATGAACAAAACGTTTTACTTGAATTCGTTAGACAATTCCCAATTGTGAGTACGACATCAATGCTGTTCTATCATTAGCTAAAACTTAAAAGGATCTAGGTTAAATTTGAGTTTTGAGAACGTTTCAAATTCGCTTGTGGTGAAAACAGAATGATTTTTGGTGTTTGTTTTAGATTCTTGGTCATTGTGGTCTAAAATTTTTTTCCGCTCCCTACTGCAATGAAATTGTGAATCCAAGTCGTACAGATTTACATGAGTGTTTGAAATATTTAAAAGAACAATCGTATGAAGTTAGTCTGTTTCTCTTGTACAATATTGATGAAAAAGTTTATCAGTTTATCAAACGTGCAAGTGTACAACTAGTTGGAGTGGTGACACAATGTGCTGATTTTGCTGCAATTCGAAAAAATATAACAAAATTAGACATGTATTTATACAATTTTGTCTGTAAATTTAATGCGAAATTGGGTGGTATTAACAGTCTAGGTAAATTGTAAGAATTTACAGATGATATTAGTAAAAAAACACACGATTTTCTGAAGAACTAGTAGTTTACCCTGATAGTCCATATTTCTAGTATCAAAATAGACATTAGATTTTTCAAAATCATTTTTTTTTGTCTCTTTAGTAAATTACAAAAGTGTGCTATTGAATTCTGACGTCAATAACAATGCTGAAGATGATTGTTTTATGTTTATTGGTGCCGATGTCACTCATAAAATAATAACAAGAGGAAATCCATCAATAGCAGCTGTTGTGGCTAGTCGATATCCGGCATCGACACAATACATTGGCCGATCAACTGAGCAACGTCCAAAAAATGATAAAAAATATTCGGTAGAAATAATCAAAGATTTTGAATTAATGTGTTCAGATTTGCTCAAAGTATTCGCACAAACAAATGGTCGACTACCAACGAAAATTGTTGTGTATCGGGACGGGTAAGAAGACGCAGAGAGTCAATGCATAGATTTTCTTTTAATACTTCTTTATTTTATAGGGTTGATGACGGTCATTTCCAAAAAGTATTGGATAATGAAGTTCAAGCGTTGAAAAAGGCATGCAAAGGTAGGCCGTCATAGTCACTTATTCAACTCAGTACTGGAACTCTTTAACAGAAAAATGTTAAAAATACCATTCGACACCTGAGCGTTTGATTAGAATAGACAGTAGGGATTTTAGATCAAACTTGTCTTAGTTTATCGATTTCATAACATCTGGGGAAAATCTTCGCAGATCATCTAAAGCGTTTTTAATTAAAGCTAGTTTTCCTAGGGTAATTCTTAATGCCGATCACGCATCTGATGTCCTTATTGAGTTTCTAAATAGATCTTAGAAGCCTGGTCTATAGAGATCCTTCATGAATGGCGAATCACAAGATTCTAATCTGACCAGTTTATAGAGATCATCTGGTTACCTCTGTGAGAAAATTTTTACAACTACAGAATAAGTTTTAATTCAGTTATAAACAGTTTACTATCAAAATACCTGAAAAAGCCAAATATTTCGCTGTACTTGAGATTAATATTTCTATAACTGAACTAAAACTTGCTTTGTAGTTCGAAAAATTTTCTCAGATAACTCGATGATCTTTATAAACTGGACAGATTAGATCTTGATTAGGTCTTGATTCTCCATTCATGAAGAATCTCTAGAGACCAGGCTTATAAAGTTCTATTTAGAAAGTCAATAAGGACATTAGATGCGTGATCGGGATCAAGGATTATCCTAGAAAAACTAGGTTTAATTAGAAAAGCTTTAGATCGTATGCGAAGATTCCCTCCGTAAGTAAAGATTTGAGAGACTTATTTAATCTAGACAGATATGGTTCTGCAACTACTTCAATATCAAAGAGTTTCTTAAAATAGTAAACTCTTTTGTCTACAAATCGTTCGAGATTTAGAGAGGCATTAGAAGATACACGTTTGAGAGAAGAGTTACTTAAGCCAGATGAAAGATAGACATGACGAATCACAAGCTATTTCTAATTTTGGTCCCGAGACCATCCGTATATACAACATTTTTAGAATAAAACACTCAGTTTTATAAAATACTGTAGAGCTTATGCTCTGATAGTATCGAACGAAAGCTGTTTATTATACGTAAAGGCTATTTTTCATTTCAGACATATGTGGCGAACATCAATTACCCAAAATTACATTTGTTATTATAAAAAAACGTCACAATACAAGATTTTTCTGTTATGATGCGCGAAAGAACCCTCAAACATTCAATACAGAACCAGGTGTGTTTTGATATTCACAAAAATGTCTAACAATCATGACTTTTTTTTTTATTTTAGGCACCGTTATCGATACTGAAATTGTACATCCGTCTCAGTTTGATTTCTATTTAAATTCTCATGCTGCAATTCAAGGAACAAACAATTGCATCCTCTATCATGTATTATATAATGAAATCGGATTTACATCAGACGAAATACAACAATTGACCTATTTTCTGTGTCACACAGACGTTCGATGTACAAAAGCGGTTAAAATGCCTGCAGCTGCCAGATATGCACACAATATTGCCTACGATGCCCGTTATTTAAGAGGAAATGATATTAAACCAGAAGAGCAAGATCGGACCGATTTTAATCAATGGGATGATGAGTGAGTGTTTTGGGTGTTTGAGTGTTCTAGTAACTTTTCTTCTTCTTTTTCAGTAATGATGATGTTTCGTTAGACGACGTGGCAACAAATTTAATAATGATAGATCCATCGGTTAAAGATACAATGTGGTTCGCTTGAAAATCAGCGAATTGTAGTATTGATTCAAATCTGAATTTCTATCGAACATTGTTATAAAGAACTTCAACATAAAATTTTATGTTTTTTTTTTAAACTTTTCTTTTTAGGTGAAATTAATTTTTTTTCTCACGCTCTGTCCACGAACCTACTTTTCTCGCCATATGTATCTAACTTTCTTGTACTATATTGTACAGATGTGTATTTTATGCTCTTGTTGTTAAAAACAAACGAACTATTTTGACTTTTGATTTATATGATTGATTTAAAACCACCAAAGGGTTTAAAAGTTATGCATAACTAAGAGGAAATGTTATACGTAGATCTTGTTAAAACTTGTTAGGAGCAAGGAAAGAAGGAAACAAATTGCACTATGGGATAAGTCATTTAGCTATAGCTAGCTCTTAACTCCAACTAGTTATAATTCTGTTAATTTTTCGTCAAAAAGTTAAAATTAGTTAGAACTAGTTAAACTTATGAACAGTTATAATTCAAATACTTTAAACTCTTTGGTGTCTAAACTGGTTTTGCTTTTGATCTAGCTTTTATTATATTGTGAAATAAAATAAACGTGAACTTAAATTTTGTTTAGGCAAATGAAAATTGATATAACAAGAGAAAAGAAATGAAAATGAAAATCAACGAAGAATCAGCTTCGAACACACTATCAATTTAGATCGAAAGTATCTACCTTTTTTCAGTTTGGTCTTCGTTTCTTTTTCAAACTAAACAAATAATTGTTTTTTTTTCTGTAATCTTGAGAAGCCGATCTCTTAAAAAAATGCACAAAAAATTTAAGAATGAAATCTTTCTGATATTGCCATTTCATAGAGTATATCAAATTACCTACTGTTTGTTATTTAGAAGTTTATCAAATGAGTATGAATAACATTAAAAGATTGTAAAAAAAATTGCAAAATAAATCATAACAGATAAAAAAAAAAAGTAGAATTGTCACGTCGTTTTCTCTTTTTTAATCAATAAAAGTAGCATTCAGAGTATGAGCAATAAAACAATAAATATCGGATAACTCTTCGATTCTTTTCACTGTTGGTTTTCCCGAACCATGTCCCGCACGTATATCAATTCGAATAATCAATGGGCGATTATTTTTTAAGTCTTTCAATTGATGTTGTAACTGTGCAATATATTTAAATGAATGACCAGGGACTACTCGATCATCATGATCAGCTGTTGTTACCATTATTGATGGATATATTGAACTGAAATTAGAATTGTTTAAATTTAGACTGAATATAATTTTGCTGTAGTTACCTGTTCTTAGGTATATTATGTAATGGTGATATATTTTTAATCCATCCATCAAAATCTTCTTTCACATCTGAGCTTCCATATTCACCGATCCAATAGTGTCCTAAACATAAAAGAACGATCAAACACATAAATAATTAAATAATTAATTTAAAATATCAAAACAAACCTATTGTCCACTTATGGTATCTGTACAAATCCAATACACCCACTTGAATGACAACTGTTCCAAATAAATCAGGACGTAAATTAGCACATACACTAACCGTCAAACCCCCATTACTTCCACCATTAATAGCTAATTTTGATGCCGATGTATAGTTTTGTTCAATTAAATATTCACTACAGGAACAAACATCATAAAATGTATTCCATTTTTTTTCACGATAACCTGATTTATGCCACTCTTCACCATATTCACCACCACCTTTAAAAACGAAAAAAAATAAGATGAATAATTTTTATAATCAAGATAAATTATTTTACCTCTTGCATTTACAACAGCAAATACTCCATTAAAATGATGTATCCATAATGTTGTTGCTATTGAGAAAAATGGTTTAATTGAAATTGAAAAACCACCGTAGACATAAAGACAAACAGGATTTTCACCATTTTTAATCATCGATTTTTTATGTACCAAAAACATTGGAATTTTAACATTTTCATCTTGTTTTGATTTAACAAAGACTTGTTCAGTTGTCATTGTGTCTAAATCTATACCATTAAATTCAACACGTTTAAATAATTTTAAATTATCATCACTAAATGATTTGTTTAAATCACAGACATAAATTGCTGAGGGAGATAAAAATGATTCTATACGAATAAATATTTCATTTTCACGTTCATCACCCCTAAAGAAAGATAAGTATAAAGTTTAAAAGTAGTATAGTAACACCTTTTTTACCATGTTTGAATATTTCCAATTGATAAATTAAATTTTTTTAATTGTTGTCCAGTTTTTAAATCATAGAGATACAGTACACTTTTAACATGTGATAAATATTCACAAAGAAAATAATTTTGATTCACACACTTTACATCTTCTAATAAATCTTCACTATGTTCTGGTATTAATTCAATAATTTCCGTTGGTTTTTCAATATCAATAACAATAAGACGATAATTTTTTGCATTCATATTTGTTTTTAAATAAAATTTATTTTCTCGTGATGTTATAAATTCATACGTATATTTTAAATCATCAATTAGTTTAATCCATTCAATTTTTTCTATTTCACCTAATCGATAATACCATAAACGATTTTCATGCAATGTACCAAGTCGAATAGATGCTATTAAATAAAGACCATCATTCGATGTTTCAATACTGAAAAAATAATCGCTTAAATCTTTTTCACAACGTACAACACAAATATCTTCACCACGTGGAGTACCTAAACGATGATAATAAATTTCTTGAACATCGGTGCGTTCAATTTCAATTTTTCTGGATGTAACACCCTAAAAAGATAATAACATATGTTGAGAAATCCAAATATTCTAGTATGGGTCAAAAGTAGTAGTTCATTTTTAAAAAGAGTTTGATAACTTTGTCTTTTCAGCTAAGATTTTTTCACATAGTGTCCATGACATTGTTTCGTGTCAACACACAATCATCAATTTTATTTCGTAGATTTTCTTCTTCAAATAAGTTAGTTCTGGAAATGTTTATGTTTACTGTAACGCATGTCATATTGGTGTAAAACATCTTTGAAAAATAATCGAAGAGGCCTCAGACTGGAAATTGTTGACTCAACAAGCATTGATCAAATATGTTTCTCAATGCGTAGATCATGAATCTGACTTTTTATTTTAAAGTTTAGTTCTTAAAAGGTCATACAATCTTTGAAATACTATCCTAAACGTGTTGGATCCTCAGCAAGGATTTCTCTAAAACTAAAACTATAACCGTTTCAGCTTTTTTTTACTAGCGATAGTCCTAGGTCTATATTGTTTAAAAATTTAAATGCTACTAAAGTTCAGTTGTAGAGAGGAAAGCTTTTACTTTCGAAAATCGTTAGTGTTGTTAAAATAAATTTTCAACATTTCTGTGTCCTGATCTTTATAGCAATTTGAGTAAATAAAGAATACATCATTCTACAGAGCTAAAAAAGTTGATTCTACAATTCTAAAGCACTATTTTAAAATTCACATTTGCTTTTATTAATATGGAGAAAAACGCACTTTATTCTAACCTATTCTTGTGACTTTTGCAACTTTTATGTATGTGATGCTCTGCCGTACGCATGATGAACTTTTTTTACACATGTCATTTCGATAATGCTATGTAGTAGAATACTTGTTATTAATAGCTACTCCTGACTACCTATGATTATCGATCATTTTTCGATACGAAGATATATTTTTTCACAGAACATCTGATCACTAGATCATTTTTACCCGACCCGAAGGTTGGGTATAGGTACGAAGTTGTCGGATACGGGTTCCGTTTTGTTTTAATTTACCCGAAAACCAGAAGGTTTTAGTGGAAAACCACAAAATTTTAGTAAAAAAATTCAAGATTTTAGCTAAAATATATCAGGTTTTATAAAAGAGTAACGTGAGAACATAATGATAACTTGACATTTCCAACCGAAAAATAAAAATTTTTAGCTGGAAAACGAAAAGGAGAAAATTTTTAGGCATGAGTCGGGTACAGACGGGAAAAAAATTTGGGGTAGAATACGGGTACGAAAATGGTACTCGTGTACATTTCTAATACGAAGCTCTGGTAAGTACTGGTGTGTCATAATTTTGAAACAAAAGTTCGAACTGACAATCAATATGGAGATCAAATGTGTTTATGTTTATATGACGCATCTTTCAACAACCCGAGTTATTGGTAAAAATTCTCGATCAGACATATGATATAGATGAAAGCTCGTGCTTTAGTAAGCTAAGTCATATGGTACACTCAATTAACAGTTTTCGAAGTTGAGAAAAAGAATACATTCTGATAATTAGATATTCAGGTCAATTATGAATTATGAATGAATTACAAAATTATGGCAAATCAGTACTTACGCTGACCTCTCTTAGTGCTGATCTTTCCTAGTGCTCAAATTTCCGTGCTGAAAATTTCCTGCTTAACTTTCCTCATGCTGAAGTTTCATCCACCCGAATCGTCTAAAACCTATTTGTCTTAATACAGCTTCGAACACACTATCAATTCAGATCGGAAGTATCTACCTTTTTTCAGTTTCATCTTCGTTTCTTTTTCAAACTAAACAAACAATTTTTCTGTGATCTTGGGAAACATGGTACTTTGAACTGATAAAAAACCGCGTAAAGCGATTTTTTTCAAGAAAAATGTATGATAGATCAAAGGTATGAGAGTACTACCTCCTCTTTCTATATTATGAAATGTACGCAACTTACATTTATTATCTCGTTTTTCTCTTCTTGTTCAGAATTTTGCCGTGCATCTTGATATGTTCTATAAAAAATACCTTTATTATCCATAGTCCATGCTAATGATGAAAATTTTGTTCGTTCAAGTACATCAGCATGTTTTTTTCGACTTGCAACATCCAGAAAATATACTGTTGACCAATCTGAACCAGCATCAGAAACACTAAAACAAAACATGTCAAATGTCGGTTTCCTGCTTTTTATTATACAATCATTTTTCACTTACGCATAACAAATTGTTTTTCCATCATCTGAGAAACTCATCGATTGTATTGCTACTGTACCATCTTCTGAAAATGTATTTGGATCAAGAATAATTTGAGCTTCATCTGTACTTTTGTCCAAACTGTCCAATTCATAGAATATATCTTGATTTTGTAATCCTGTATTCATATGATAATAATATTTACCCGCGTATTTACTTGGACATGAAAATTTTGGTATATTAAATACTTGTTTTAAGTGTTCACAAAATTTTTCACGATACGGAATAGATTTTAAATATTTTTGGCTTATTACATTTTGTGCTCGAACAAATTCTTCTGTTTCCACCGAACCTGGATCTTCTAGCCAACGATAAGGATCATGAATTTGTGTACTATGGTAATCATCAATCACATTGTCATCACGACGAATTTGGGAGTAGTGAATGGGGTCAGTCACGGACATTATTTCACTTTCAGAAGATTTTTTTTATGTGTTCATATAATCTAAAATGAAAGAAAACGTCGTTTGATCATTATCGTATAAAATCAGCACAACTAAGTGCATAAATACATGAAATTGCATGAAATTTTTCAATTCTTTCTCCGTAGTTCCTTCCGAAATTATTGGTTTAATTCACATAGAGCTAACAAGAAGAGTGGTGACATCATTAGCATAAGTAGTCAGTCACATGTCTGTTGTTGAGTGTATTATTTGCTTACTGAAAACAGAGAACGAAAAACAACAACATTTTTTGCATATCTCAAATAGTAAATATTTCATAACAATCAGGCAGTTTTTATCAACATAACAAAACATTTAATACGATGCGTCTAGACCAAAATGTGTCTAGCTGAAAATCTGTAACGAAGTCTGTAGAGACCTGATTTCTGTGCACCTGTCAAAAAACGTTCTAACCATCCAGACGAATGTAAGATTCGGAATCAGTATCCAAAAATACCTATAATTAATTATGCAGGGCTAGACAAGTTCGGAGAGTGAGGAGAGTGGTAGAAGGTGTCGAGTTCGAGTCTTGGGTCCATTTCGGGGTCAATAATTTTTTCAAACTTTTTTCGTTGTCGCTATTTATAATTAGTTTAATCTATATTTATTAGTCACTTGAAATAAGCATCACAGATAGTCAAGAATCGCAAAGGATTGTACTTGGCTATCTGAAGAAACGCAACATAGACAAATGGGAATAGCCATAAAATAAAAAATTTACTATGACTATAATTATTTATATTTCTTTTTTCTCCTGTATCATATAACACATTAATCTTGTTATAACAAAGAAAAGTTACATAAGTAGACCTCTATTGCAAATCTCTTTTTGCTATATACGCATGTTACACAAGATATTTTACTTCTTTCTTTTTACTACACACGCAGTAAGAAGTATTTCAATTTTTATTTTCCGTTAGGCACAAAGTTATATGTTCAATTTCTACTGTACAATTGGATTTGGCCTGTTATTATGCATTCAAACAAGCTGCTATGCTAAGCATAATTTTTAAAGAGAATAACACATGGGTGTCTATATATCCCATACTAATATTGAAAAAATGCAAATTTCTCTGTTCATTTATGTTAAAAGTGAAATCGATCGGACTAGAAATACAAAAGCTCAAGTTCGAGTCCGAGTCCACCAAAAAATCTTTCAGTCCAGATTCGGACTCGCTCAGCCCTGCAACTATGTTTTTAGAAAAAAATGACTCTTTCGTTTAAAAAAACAACACAAAAAGATCAAGATCTTACAATTTGAAGATAAGATTAAACTAAATCAACAGAATAAAAACGCAGAATTTGACATCTTATGGTAACAAATCTTATTAACCCATCCGAACTAATACGGCGCTGTCCCGAAATGAAAAAACTAGATTGTGCGCTAAAAGATACGTTTATATCCAAAAACGATATGTTAGCTTTTTTTCCCACGTACTTGTAATAACAATAAAAAGAACTAACTTCTCAACATTAAAGCATTTTGTTTACGTTGAGAGAAAAAATAACAGACACCGCCTGGGGTGTCTATGTATTGTCTGACACATTTCTATCGACACATTTAATAGAGCATAATTCATTGATTTCAATATGAACATCTAAAACAAATGAAGAAGAAAGGATGGCAACATCCCAGACGAGGTCAATATGTGATTTTTCCATCCTATAAAAGTTTTACATGTATTTTAAAGTATGAAATATAGACGTATTACTCTTTTACATGCCATTACAATGTCCTTTTTTCTTTGCTTATTCCCACGGGTGTATTTACTAATATTCATGCAGATTTTGCCCCTAATAACGGATAGTTTACATATCAATATTTTACATATATTTTTTATTTTTTTGATCACTAACATTAAAATGCAATAATCAACAAAAATAGAAACAAATACAAAGACATATTTGTTCAGAAGAAAGACAGAATGTTTCATGGATAACAGTAAAAAGAAAAATAGAGATAGATGCACAAATAGTCAATCAACTTTGAAAAAAATTTCTCAATATTCAAACATTATATAATTGCAATAAGGAGAAATAAAAGAAAATTTAGTAGAAAATAAAAATCATTAGATATTCCAACAAAGACAAAACAAAAAATATTGCGCATTTACAACAAAAAGAATTCACTGTTTTTTTGTACAACAAAAATTTGTTCGCTTTATATACATGAATAACACAGTAGTAGAAAAAAATTGAGCAACAAAATAAACAATTTGATTGATTTACTAGCGACTACACTAAACCTTTTAAAAGAGCTGGTTCTAACTGAAAATCAAATTCTTTCAATGGTTGTAATATATTTAATATAAAATGATTTATTTTCTCTTGACGAAAACAATTTGAATTTGATTCATAAAATAGATTTATTAACGAATCGGAACATAATGTTAATAATTCAAACCAATTAGCTAATAAATGTAATCTAAAAAGTACAATAAATTAGAATTATTTGAGGAATATATGGATATTGAATGGTAACTAGTACTGAACCTATCAAAGGATAAGAGTGATATTAGTACTCTACTAGATGTCATATAGCTGTGCATTCACGGATATTACTCCTGTCGAAAATATAGACCGTTTCATAAAACAAGTTAATATTGAGCTTAGCATATGGTTTTATAGCACAAGATGTTTATTCTTAGAATCTACATCACTTTTATCAATATCAAAGTTTTCTGAGGGTTTCTAACGAATCTTTTTAAAAAAGCATACAAAACTAAATTTTTTGGAATTCTGATATTTCAGAAAAATGCCGGACTCAAAAAGAATTTGAATGAGGGTAGTTTTCAGACCCCAAAACGAGTCCGAAAAATCTAATTTGATTCGGGTCAATGTTTTGGAATCCTAAATTGGTTCGATTCGATCCATTGCAAGTTAAAATTTGCTTCTCTTCTGCTTTTAAATATTTGTTTAGAATATACTGCCTCGAGTTAGAATACTTGAGTAGAAGTGTGACTAAAACTTTCGAACAAGCATTATAGCAAAAAGAAATAAAAAGAAAAAAATAGTTTGTTCGTAAAAACCAAATTTGATTCGACACAAAACCGAATCGAATTGAATGCCGAATTATTCGGGCTCTGGTAGTTTTTAGAGCAAATATTTCTGGTTAAAATTTGATATCTTCTAACTTTGACCAAAACTTTGATCAAAAGTTATAATAGTTTTACTAAAAGTTATAAAATTTCTACTATTTTAGAAGTACTAGCATCACCATACTCCAAAATCGCTTGTAGAATTGTTGTCCATTATCGCTTCAGAAGGTATGGGGAATTTTCAACTTCTGCTGACTGCCAAAAAGCAGTAATGCAAATATTCAAAAATCGGTCTCGGTCAACCACTGGCTGTATCTGTTGGCTTCATTTTAAAGCCAACTCAAACGCTTCACCATCTATCTGCATGATAAATTTTGGGAAATACGACTAGCCCTCATTTTGGTCCAAAAAGATTTTCTTCATCATAGTTTGACACGGTCAACATTTTTTCAAGAACTCACTTATGATTCTCGAGATAAATTTCTACAATGGAAAGTCTTAATATATTCAATTAGGCTACAATCTATTGTTTTATTTTTCATCCCTTTTCTACGTACTTGCATCCCAAACAACACCAACTTTGGAATCGTCCATCTTTTCCAAAATTTTGTAGAGCTTTTTCAATTGCTCTCACGCCATTTGTATAACATATAATTGATTTTTCCAATTGATCATTTTTATTATTACGCCATTCTGAACGTTTTAGTTCATATTCATCACAAACTTTAACTAAAATAAAACAGTCATATTTTCAATTTTATTGTAGTAATAACAACTTAACATACGTAAAAAGTCCCAAACATAACGTTTTCGTCCAAATGGAAAGGCATTTTTTTTCAAACCATATGAAAATGTTTTTTCTAAACTATTCACAAGACCATCTTCACCACATAATATCGGTGTAACGATACCACGCTAGAAAGTAATTAAAAATAAATATAATATAAAAAGTTTCCAGAAATCTACTATTTTACGTTTTTTTCTGATTCATCAAAATATTTTACTAATTGATTGATTGATCGTCCTAATAATTCATAAATATCGTCAGCTTGATTTGTTTCTACAATAAAAAAAACATTTATTGTCTGTTAATTTTCTATAAATCAAAACTAAATCAGCAGATATTAGCTAGATAAATTAGCAATTATGTTTTGAGTGCCGTGCTCATGCAGTAGCTAAATATACAACCTACAAACTTACGACAATAATCTGTTGAAGAATTTAAATTAGACTCTGATCTACTCATTAGCCAACTTAACATAAAATCTAATCAAGAATAGAATAAACTGAAGTAGATAAAATTAAAAAATTGATTTTTTTTCTCTCTCACTTGATTCACTCAATCGTCGTATACTTGGTGAACGTGATCGAATTATTGCTAAGTTTGTATTTGATCCATTTAAATTCTGATAATTTGAATTGTTACCATGCACTGTTGTTTCTATGATAAATAAAAATTCATATTCTTACATTGAGAATGATTAACAATTTCTTACTCGGATACAATTCACTAAATGATGGCACCGATTCTGCAAATAATATTCTTTCAAGACTATCATCATCGACACCTTTACCTAGCCAACGACCACAGGGAAATCTAAGAGTTGAATAATCGATAAACATCAAGTATTATCTTCTTACACATATAATACCTGTAAATATGTCCCGTAATCTCATTTTGCACAAGAACATATTCAATAGCCCATCTTGGCATTAATCCTGTATTATCATGTCCAATTCTTAATGTTGTCAATTGACCGAGATTTTTATGCTAAAGCATATCAGAGATGAATGATATAATATTCGATAAATAATAATCTTTGGTTACTAACTTTAAATGCAAATTCTAATGTATTTTTTGGTATTTGTATTATTTTTGTTGATTTTAATGATCCATCGATAGATAAATAAGGATTTGCTGTTGTTGATTGAGCATGAAAACCACGAACGGGAACAATGATCACCCGATATTTAATAACTAAATACAGAGTAAATATATAAATCAAATTAGAATATTTAATTAAATTTACCAATTTCTGAATAGGAATTTGTAAATGAAAAATAGTCAATTAATTTTAATGATTCAACATGTGCAAGAAATTGTTGTCTTGCTTCACCATCATCTGCTCTCAAAAATGAATCACGTTTATATAATGATTTTAATAAATCAGCATGTTCAAATAGTTCTTTCAAATGTTCACTCAACAGTTTTCGTTCCAATGATAAACGTATAAAGGCTCGAGCACAACCAACTTCTGATGATATTGGTGAAATAAGTTCAACAATTTGATCAACATCATGCATTAAATCTGATGGTAATGAGTTCAGAAAATCTTGTTGTTGTTGTTGCTGCTGCTGTTGTTGAGATGATATTCGGGGTGATAAACTCAATGTAGAAGTTGTTAAAGGACTATGTTTTCGGAGGTTATTAAATGGTGAATAGGTAGACGTTGTAGATGTAGGAGTACGACGATCCGTTGTACTCACTGATTTATTTCGAGGTAATGTATGAGAACCTGTAAACAATAACAACATCATAATCGAACAAAAAGCAAAATATAAAAAGAACTTACGATGATTACTAGGGGATGGGGTTCGATGGGTACCGCGAGCTAAATGTTTACGCATCAAACACCAAACCAATGCTAAAAGTGGAAAAATATCATCTAGGAGGAAACAACAACTAAAAGGTCCATACATTATGACTAAAACACAATTACAGTAAGTTTGTAGGGTACATAAAAAACTTAAGAGTATTTCTGCCTCTCATTTTGGGCTATCCGTTGAAATGCTGTCAAATAAAAACGAAAATGACTAGCATTTCCAGAAGTGATTGAAAACTTAATGGAGCATTTTTAGATATTTGTTTTAAATCGAATCATAGGAAAAATACTGAAAAAATCTCTCAAAAACCAATTTTTTTAATTTTGTTACATGCGTCATTGAGTTTCTGATCAGTTGTGGAAATTCTAGTCATTTTTATTCTTTATTTGGCAATATTTTTATGGTATGTCTAAAAAGAGAGAAAGGATATCTTTAATGAGAAAGGTATCGGTAAAAATTATTAAAAAAAGTAAAAATTATACATTAAGACACACCAGTGCAAGCGTGTAAAAGATTCAATTTATTTCTTAGAGAAGTGTTGTTTTTGTAGAATACAATGGTTGCGATAGTTAGCTATTAAATTTATTAAGAAATTCATACCGGGGTTTTCATCTTTTGAATATGATGATAATCCAGCTATTTCATACTCTTTCAATTTACAATAGCATTTTAGATGATTCCATAATGCCGACTTTCCTTGCTAAAAAATACCAGATGAATAGAAGAAATTATACAATTTAAATTTGATAATAAATGAAATTTACTGGTTTATTATGTAATCTATGTGACCATATTCGTTCTAGTAGATCACAAAATCCTCCGATCAAAACATTTTCTTCCAAATTACTATACGTTTCATCACGTTGACTACCCAAATTGATACCTTCAGCGCTCATCTTTTCTAGTACCATTCGTTTTGTCTAAAGTAAAAAAACAATAAAAAACTACTCGCTAAAAGATGAAAAATGACTTATATACCTTCATTGTACATTCTTTCAATAATTGTTGAAAAACTAATTCTGATTCGACCACATGCTCACTGCCCATTTGTGTATTTTGCTTCTTTGATTTAGTCTGACGCGACGAAGACGAATGTTTGAACGATGTTTTAACTGGTGTTTGATGCAATGATTTTATTACATACGAATTATGATCTTGTTGAATTGAACTCACTAATGTTCTAGTTGTGGATGAGAGTAATATATTTTCCAATAGAATGGAATTTAAGGTTTCAAATAAATAACGTTGCTGTGTTTGTAATGGTGAAGATATGGAAGATAACAATGGACGAATAGTTGGAGCGGTAATTATAATGTTTGAGTTAATATTTGTAAAACGTCGACGAATATCGTCTTCGATGTCAGAAATAGACAAACACGATTCATAACAGGTAGGATTTTCATTTAAACGATAAGAACGAATATGATCGGAAAATATTTGTAAATGTTTTTCAGTACATCCAAATAACTTTTGGGATTGTTCTGGTAGTTGAAATTTTCGTGCAATAATTTTTGAATCAATAAAGGACACAAACGATTGTGTTTCCATAAATGCTAATAAAAATGTAACATAGGGTTTTGGTTGTTCACTAATGAATGTTGAGCGATCAAAATTTTTTGTTGTATTTCGTTTTTCTAACCATTCATTAACTGTTGATGTTTCAGCGGTGAGAATTGGATAACAGATGAATTCATCATATTTTGAAAATAATTGAGCAAAACGATTTAGAAAACATTCTCGAATACATAAATTACATTGAAGTATAAGAATATCTACAGGACAATATAATTGATTTTCTTCATCGACAGACAGACGTTGAGAGGATGAGGATGGCTTATCATTAGAACCATTTGAATTGTCTAAGACAATAAACAATGCGTAGAAAAAAGTAAAAAGAATAGCCAAACTATCTTCACCACTTCTTTTCCCTTACCATTCAATATGATTCCCGCTCGTTTCGCGATTGCTGCCATTCGTGCTAATGCTTGACTTGGTTCATCTAAGTTGTTAGTATTTTCATTTTCATTATCATCGTTATCTGACTGATTAAATGATGAAGCCATATAGCAATCGTTGTTCATCGATCGACTGTAGTTTGAGAGAGAAGGTGCGTGAACAGATGATTTTAAAGAAGTCGAATTGTTGCTGGATGATAATTGTGACTGTTGTGATTCAAAATGTGATAAAATATTACTTAATTCTTCAATGAATTTATTACGATCAGGAAAGAATGGAGTATCTTCGGGTAACTGGATACTGCCTGTATCAATATTAACGACACATTTTTGAGCCTAATGAAAGAATATTTCAAGTGATTAACAACTTTTTCTCTGCTAGTTTGAAAATGAGATTATGTGAAGAATCCTAACTCTATCTCTATTTAATCATGTACTGTGATTGATAAGATAATAGGGTTCTAAGTTTTCCTACAGGACATTCATATGTCTTCTTCATTTATCTTGATAGAGAGGCAGATATAAAACCTAAGAATTTTTGTCCAGAAACTACTATCTATGAACGAGTTAATCGAACAATTGCAAGATAATAGCTAGTACATATTGTGGAAAAAATATTTTAGATTTTGTATTTGTAAAAAAAACTTGAAATGTCAACTAAGTTAGCGATTACCATAACGAGCTAAACAGTTGAAAACAAAGCAAATTAACTAATAAAAACAGAGAAAGCTTTTTTCAGCTTAACTAGCTCGTAGATAGTAAGTAGCTTTTGGACCAAAACTCTCGGTTTTCATATTTATTCCCTTGTCGAGAGGCATGAAGAGGAAGATGTATGAAGAGAATCTAAAATCCATTTATCGCAAATTTTTCTTAAAACCCAATGACAAACACATTCTCAAACTATGAGAAGAAAAACTATCAGCCACATTAGTAAGTTCACTTGTAAAACGAAATAGTAAAGCATAAATCATCACAGTAGAGAACCAATTTCAAAGAATTTGATAAGGAAGAAAAACCCAATTTAAATACCAAACGAGAAGCTTTCTGCTTATAGTCCAAACCCATATGTACAATGTCACGGTGATTACTAGAATCAGTTCTATGTATTTAACGATTTGATCACAAAAAGAACTCGTATTCATTGATTCTAGGAAGTTTAAATATGAAATACACGAACTAAACTTATAGATAATGGTTTGCATATCTTTTTCTAGAACGAAACATGTTGCCGTATTTCACAAACTAAAGAATGGTTAAAGTTCTCAATTTATATTTACTTCAAATGTAACTTCTTCATCGTCATTAATTTTTAGTCCCATAATAGCTGGTACCGGAACATCAATACAAACTAACGCAGCTGTAAACACAATGGGTACATAAAGTAATGTCCACGTAAACGGGAAAAATAAACTTGTTAGACATTCTGCAACCAACATTAAACGAGTGTAATCTAAAACAAAACAAATAATTTCTAGATTGAATTAGTCATATTGTTATTTTAAATACCAGATGATTTCAATATAATTTGATGTTCTAACAGTGCACATGTAAACAAATCCACGACATTCTTTACACCCAATAATTGAAAAAATTCTAATAGACTAAAGTCGAGTAAAGGTAACTCTTTCTCATCTGGACGATAAATCGACAAAATTTTTTCTCCAACATAAAATTTCATAATGTGACCTGGCGGTGGTAGATAAACATCATAGAGTAAATTATACAAATAAGATTCGAGAGGTAATCCTAAGAGATCTAAATCTGATTCCATTCGATAGAGTGTTTCCAGAATTTTACGATAAGATGTATAGTATGCATATTGTGAAATTAAGCAAATAGTTTTCGTAACATAAAGTGTATCGGATAATCGACTATAATGTAGTAATTGTTGACGTTTTGAGTTTGGTTTCATTAAACGTTGAAGAGATGAATAATCTATATTAAAATACAAAATAACTTTAGTAATCTTAACGGTACTCGGTATGTTGTTTACCTGAATTAACTGTTGACATAGACATGAGTTTTGCTGGTGAAGATGTAGAAGACATATATGTGGATAGTGAGGGTGTTCGACGGTGTTGTGAATAAGGTTCCTTGTCAACATGTGATTGTTGTAATTGTTGATCGTAATCATGTTGAAGTTGTTCCATTCGAGAACAGATTGGCGATGTATCATCAATTTTTTCATAAAATGTTAATGACATACCGTAATACCGTTGTCCATCGAGACGTGTGATCAAAAATGGATGAGTTTGAATTTCTTCCGGATGAGTTTTAAAAGTAACGCCATGTGGCATTGATAGCTAAATAAAATAAAACTTGTTACTTTTATACATGAATATATATAATTTGAACTATAAAAAAAATTGAAAATCAGAAAATTCAATCAGAAACAGAAAATTTTTAGAGAAATTGTCAAGATATAGATATTATGTTATTTACAATACAAAATGGTAGATAGTTTTTACAATCTATAATGTCTAACAAAATGCTAAGGAAATCAACACATGATAAGAGGAACTTTTACCTTTTTTATCTACCTAAATCTACTCCAATTATGCAAGATAAATCTTAGTATCTCACCCTAACAATGGCTTCATTATCGAATGTATTGTTTGTCACATCTTTCGGATAATGAGCTAATACTCGACAACGATAAGAATTTTGTAGTGGACTAAGTAAAATATTACCTAAAATAAAGAAACAAAAGTAGATAGTATTTATTTCTAATGATAATATCGTACGAAAAAAAGAAAATTACAAGCACAAGCAATTATCATGTAAAATCGTCATGTTATACATGACGAGAACCCATATCAATGAAGTATTCAGAAGCTAACAATCAACATAAAAGAGACGACAATTTTGTTAGCAGATCAAACGTTAGTATGATTTCAGTTTTTAGTGTAGCACATAATAAATACACTTACCATCGTCTGTAGTAGCGTGTGCTAAAACATATATATACAATAGTGAGGAAAAAGTTATTTATCACATGTCGACAATCTTTTTGTGAAATGGTGTGTAAACTTATCTAAACGAGTAGAAAAGAAGCAGTATTATAGCGTACCGGCTGATTCACATGGTTCCAGATCAACATTTTTATCTAGGCCACATACGACAAAATAATCGATTAAACGTTGTTGTTCTTCTTGAATAACAGAATCATTTAGGTGTGGAGATTTATTGGATGATGAATTTAATGATATCGATGTATTGCTTGTCACATTATTACTTGAAACATTTGAAGATGGTGATAATGATGATGATAATGAATAATCAAGTGATTGTTTCGAATAAGTAACATTATTATTTATTGATGTTCGTTGATGATTATATTCATTTAAAATTGAATGAGTAGAATTTGGTGTCGAAGTCACCGTTGCCATCAGAATGATTTATGTAAGAAAGAAAAAGAACATATATATATATAGAAAACAGAAAATAAAAGTAAGTATCTAAAACCAAAAAATTTCGAGTATATTACTAACTTAGGGATTGGTGAAAATATCTTGTCTTTCGAACTAACTTAAATGTGAATAGTAGAATAGCTGGTATTTATTAAAGATTAGTACATATCAATAAAATATGTTTGCTATTTTTTTCTTTTATCGGAAGTAATAACTTAGTTATTTTTTTTTGACTGCTCTAAATAACTGACGTCTAAGTTTTTTTGTAAAATTATTGATGTATGTGAACAAAAATAGTATACCATGTTGATTAAATTATCCATTAGAAATTAAAATGTTGAAATTTTAGATAAAGAGACCAAAACACTTTTCACTCCTCTACCTACCCGATATATACCAAAACACCAAATATTGATTGAATAGACTACTAATAGTGTTATGACGCAGTCTTTTAAACAAATTTCTTCTTTTGACAAGAATATACAATAGCGACGACTGTATTCTAGACGGTTTTATCATGAATAAACAAACTTGTATGCTATATACTCTTTTATATTTAATATGATATGAAGCATCTCAACATGTCATGATTTAAATCATAGTATATATTTTTTTCTGTTCTCTCATAAATATGATAATAAATGATTGTAGTATGTAGTATGATTATACATAGATATAGTAGTAACAATTATATCAGTTTAATCCCTGTAGTGTAAATAAAATTAGAAAAACAACATAGGAGACCTAGTTGTTCCTGTCAATCACAAACATTGTTAATCAGCATCGTTAAACGTTACTTAATTAGCGGTAAAAGAGAGTCTATATAAAATAAAATTGAAACTCTCTTGGATGTAATAATAGTCTTCAAGCTACTAGAATTTCAATATTATTTAAGACTGTGAACCGAGCGGATAGAAGAAGATTATGGAGAAAACATCCAAGTTTTTATTTTAAATTGTTACTCAAGAAATGGAAATTCACATAGCACAAAGGAATTACTATATCTGTCTATAATACAAATGGAAATTTTAGTTTTATTTATATTCCATGAAAAAATTCAGTTAACATATTTATTGTCCATAGTTCTAAATTTGAAAGAAAAAAAACCAACAGTAAAAGTGATAATAATAAGCACACTCTTTGTTAATGTATTAGTCGTCGGTGTAGTGTATATACGCATAGAAGAAGAAAAAAACCAACAACTTTAAGACGAGTACATGTATAAATAAGTGTATCTTTCTTAAGAAGGGAAACAGCTATTAGTAATTATTTTTTGTCGGCACCTTTTTGTCGAACAAATGAAAAAAAACCAAAATATATAAAATAAAAATAACTTTTAAAAACAAGCAAATGACAAGAAGAAAAATAAATATTTGTATAAGTGCGTATTAGACCAGAAGCAACAAACAAATATAGAAAACTTGAGAGAACTCTGATGAGATATTTCAACCTTGTACCAAAGGTAGAAAAAGAAATAAACAGTATATCACAAGGAGAAGAAACAAGAAGAAAAATGCCGCTGGAATGAATAGAATTACATCCCTCTTTCTCTTGATTCATTGAGAGCCGAAGTGGATGATTTACGAAACAAAGACTTCCGTATAAAATATCAGTCTCTTCTGTTACGCAACTTTTTAAAAAAACAACTGGTTCTAGTTCCGTTTTCCTCTCATTAAGCAAACTACTTGAAACATCTTCAAATCAAAAGCACAAATCCGTTTTTACGACAAATCTTTAAGATTCGTTCAAAATAAATAGCATGTTCTCCTGCTTCTCGCTCATAATACTCTAAAAATGCAGCAATTTTTCATTTTTAAAAGACCAATTGTTTTTCTATCAGAAGGTGCTCAAAACACCTATTTTTTAAAATAAGTATTGATCAAAACGAATTGAAAATTGAGAGAATTTCCGTGAGAACAAAAAAAGAAAGAAAAAAACGATTGTAAATAATCTATTAGTCATCTTTTGATTGAGAAAGTCATTAAATAAATGCTTTTTTATTCTTTCTACTGCATTTTCGATCGTTCTAATTTTGTATTAACAATTTCATCTTCTGAGTCGAGTGCTTGTAGTGCTTGATCAGCAATTGATGTTGGAATATTATCTTCAACCCATGTCAATTCATCATCAATACCATTTTGTCCCTGGATACTTTTATCTTCTTTAACATTTAAGTTTCTTTCAGCATTTTGTTGTTGTTTTTTATTCATTTTACCACTACTGACTTGTGTTCCATTTTCTTGCTGTTTACCTCGTAATTTAACCGTTTCAAATAGAGTTGCTTCACCTTTTTCTTCATCTAAATCATCCATATCATCTGGATCATGATCTTGTTCGTCGTCCAAAAGAGGAACAAATGCATAACGTTGATTATTATTTGATGGACGAAATAATATCATAATGACAAGCAATAAGAGAGAGAATAAGATATGCCAAAATGCATCATCAACCTGGAAAAAAGAGAAAAATTTAAACAAAAAAAACTTAGCAATAAATAATAGCTGATATTCTGCGTTTTTTTTCTTTGAATATGCTCATAACTCAACAAAAGATCTTTTTTACATCATCATTAAAACTTACCCAGAATTCTCTCCAATCTGTAATACATTTGGCAAACTGATGTGATTTTAATGACCATATCATAAATAAAATTGACGCAACAATTGCAAATAATATTGTATTTGTAAAATGACGATAAACATTAAGTTTTACCACATTTTTTCGCACACGTAAAGTACGTGTTGTTCGTACCAAACCCGTAAAGATCCAATAATAAATAGTTGCATCCACTACAGCCAACGGTATACGTGATATTAATACATTTTTGCTTGTTTCGTCGTGTTTGGAGTACAAACGTAAGAATGATTCGGTGGCAGCAATTGCAAAGTAAAGTAAAGCCATTCCAATCACTTTTTGTTTGAGTGGACCTAATCGTGGTTTAACAATGCCAAAACCAAGTGCAACAATAACGACTAACATTCGAGATACAGTACGTTTTAAACACGAAAGAATTTCGGCAGTTATGACGGCATATTTCATGGTGTAACCATAACGATTTGTTGTATCATATTCAGCGAGAAATGCAGATTTTTCGAACATTCCAATGAGAATAACACCACCAATCCAAAATTGAATTTTTAATAATTCACGCCTAAAATAAAAGATCAATAATTAGAGATCATTCTTCCACAATACTTTTCAACTTACCAGTAAAAACAACACCATATAAACCAAAAAACGGCGAACAAAGCATAAATAGCACACATCACAGCATAAAATATTAACAGTGGATATTCGTCAGCTAAAAAAGCATATAGAAACATGAGTCTTATGATAAACTGTGAAGTAGACAAACTTGCCCGATAAATAACCATGTTTTGATTTCATTGATACTATTAAATCGATATCTGGATTCCTATCCCCAGTAGATTTTAATGTCGGTTGATCAAAATCAATTATATAAAATCCATCACCCCACGTCACCAGAGTATTTACATCAATTTTAGAAACTGCTACTTCTAACGGTGTTCCATTTGCGGCACGTCGACGACGATTGCTTGGTTGCTCTAAAAACCACAGAGACTAGATTGATATATACTGCGCATGTAGGAAAGCTACTTCTACCTTTACTTTTCTTTTCTGTTTCAGATTTCTTTTCTTTTGGCGGTGATGTTTGTTCTAGGATTGCCGGTTCTGTATAGTTGGCCGCTTGTGTCAATTGAACAGTTCTTCCATCAGGATCACAGCCTTTCTGAACAATCGTAAAGTCTTTTACTTGCATTTTATCCCATACATTCTTATATCTTTTATCCTCCACTTGTGCATCAGTATCTGCATTACTCGGACCAGAAGACGTTAGTGAAAATTCAGGCGTCAATGGTAAACAAGAAACCACACGACCAATACGACCCCTAATTTCGATGTCTGAAACAAAAAATTGGCACATTATATATATGTCTAATCAGAAATATTAGCGACGTTTTTCTCACTTAAATCGGGATAGTCTTGATCTATACTCTTAGCTGGTTTTTTCTTCCCATGTATAATTGCATTTGTATCATTCATTGTCGGTGTTCGACAAATGACTCTGAAGTTAATTTTTGTGTTAGCATATAGAATTCGATCAAGAATAGGACGCTGTTGATCATGCCATTGTACTGGAACAATACCATTGGTTAATGCACAAGAACAGAAAGGAAGTAGTGTATATAATAAGACGAATAATGAGAAAATTAAATGCATTTTTTAAACAATCCGAAATTATACAGACATATTCTATACAAAGTAGAAATATTTATTAATTTATGAACAATTTTTCCGGTTTATTGTTGTGTTCCAAAATTTATCTAAAGTAAACAAGCAATCAATTCTTAAAAAACTCGTGAATACTAAGAATTTTTAACTTTTCTATTACTGTTTACACTTTACTTGAGTTCAAACGTTCTTTGTAAGATGAAGAAAAGTGAACTCAAATTTCTACTCCTATAGTAAGACAAAAAAGTAGTTAATCAGAATATCTCTTTTTTTCGTTTTTGTTTATACTCAACCATACAGTGATCGCTCTGGGAGGCTTTTTGACAATAACAAACTTCAAGTTTCTGAATGATTTCTAAAAAAGGTAGATGATCGGTCGAGGTTTGATCATTCCAGCAAATAAGTTTACTTGTTTTTCAAATCTACCAGTTACCGCTGCTCAAATGAATTTTAACAGTTATCGATGACTAAACCATCCACGTCAAAACAAACAATCAGAAAAAATTTCATTTTTCTACACGAAGAAACGCACAATCCGAAAGATATATGAGTCATAAGCAAAACAGATTCACCTGCGATTTAACTAAAAAATATACAAAATATTTTAGAAGGCGTGTCACTTCTTTTTCGATTGTTTACTATTTTAAAATAAAGCCAATTTGTCTGTCACGGTTGATCTAGAAGCTATAATGTTTCGCATTCGATGGCCATCAACTGGTTATTGGCCCCAATGATATTTAAAACAGACATGCATCAAATTAATCTGGAATTTAATTAGAGTAATAGTTTTTCGTTTATGAAACTCCTTAAATTTTTACTACTTTAATTTTATTAATATCGCATTCTGTTAAACTGTATATATACATGAAAAGATGTTCAATCAGTATTTTATTCGTCTTCGTACAGTAGCCAATAGGAAATTATTTTTTCATTTTGTGGTTGATCTCAGCAGTAAAAAACGTTCGTCATACTTTATTTGGAATTCTTAATTTTTCACTTTCGAAAAAGTACAAACACAATCTAAATTTGTAGATAAATAGATAACATGTTCACATTGCTAAGCTATCCGTGCTACACGTACACACGTTCGATTAATCAGGAAAAAAAACCTTTGAAGGATTCTTACTCAATACAAAGCCTACCAGTCTATTATCGATTGATTTTCATCGATTAACCGACAATAACAGAAATAATCAGTACATACCTAATTTACACTATGATATTACTATAAGCTACTTCTTGATTTTCGTTTGGCTTTAATTTTCCTCTATGTATTATTTTCATTCTTAAATTTTGCTAAATGCTTTGATCACTTGCAAAAAGAAAATATGGAAAAAAATCGTTGATCAAGTGAACATTGTTTCTTGCCCTAAATATTTCACAAATATTCAGGTATATAGCGTAACTTTTAATCTACGGCAAGAACAAAATCTTTTCAGCTCGAATGGAGCATGAATTCTTTTTTCATTTGTTGTATGTTTGTTGACATAAAGTAAAGTTATATTTCTGTCTTACTAATTCTTGTGTCTCAGACATTCTTTGAAACAAACATAAACCATATTCAAAAACTAGAAATTTTAAAAAAATAATTTTAAAAATCGAGGAGTTTTTGCAAAACATCTTCACAGTTGATATACAAGGATGCAGAACATTATTCAGCTGGAAACAGTGAAAATATAAGTGAACAATACTATCTTCACTCTCATTCCAAATTGGCGTGTGAAAGTCATTTTTAAAATAAGTGCACAGAGAAGTGAGTATTTATCTTGTGCGGGAAGGAAATGAGTTTGAACATTTATTGTAAAAAATAAACTCAATACAAAGACTCATGAATGCGATCTATGTCTTTCTGAAGAGCTAGCGACACTATTTTTGTTCATCTTTGGCATGATTATGTAAATTAGAAAGTCAACAATATTTCTTTTAATATTCGAATACTTTTTTAAATTACCATCATCATTGCAACAAATTCTGAGAAAGTCGATCTCATCGTTTCTCTTGTTGTCTTCATTCTCGCTATAAATTGTTGTATTTTCAAATTTAAAAGCAGAAAACAGTATTACTTAAACGGAAAATTTATTTGTTCCTAGAATGTCATACATAACTTTTCTCTATAAAAATTTTAAAACTCGAATAAGATCTTTTTATTCTTAGTTGTTCAATTTTATTCTTTATTTTAGACAAAAATAAGAACAAACTACTCAGTATTTGACTTATACACACTTTGTTGTGTTTAATTAACAGAAGATGAATGTTGTATTATTTCGTCATGTTTCTCAAAAAATAAAATTATATTCAACTCTCATACAATATCGTACAGCTATTGCACAAGCACAACTACATGAAACTCAAACACATCATCATTCACAACAGCCACATGAATTAGATCCATTGAAACCTCCACATCTCGATCATGATAGAATGACAATGCATCCAAGAATAGGTGTGTAATTAAAATTCTAATTTTAAAAGTAGAAATTTTATTTTGTTATTTTTATTTTAAGGTAATCGCGAAATTGTTGGATATGGTATGAAAGGTAATCCAGATTATTTTGATTTGGCGATGTTTCCGTGTCCAAGTATTCGTTGGGAAGTTGATACACCAGAAGTGAAAAAACTAAGAGAAAAAGAACAGGGTGATTGGCATAATTTAACAATTGAAGAGAAGAGAAAACGTATGTGTATGACATATTTAGTTCGTTATAATATCGTCATCTTTCGTTTTGTGTTAGTTTATCGTTCTAGTTTTCGTCAAACATTCGAAGAATTCACACAGCCTGAAGGCATATGGAAATGGTCATTTGGATGGGGTCTAATTGCATTTGCCGGACTTACATTTATTTACGACGGATATCGACGATTAGGTAAAAATCAATAATATGATTATAGAAAAGCTAATTCCATACATTTATTCTTTTTTAGTGTATACATTTGATCCACCAGATAGTACATCTGATGAAAAGCTAAAAACTCAATTACAATACCATATAGCTGCACGTCAAGGTCCACAGACGGGTTTATCATCCGAATGGGACTATGAAGTTGGTCAGTTCAATTCTTTTTATTATGTATTTTATTTCTCTCTTCTCCTATGAAATAATATGTTTTTTGTTAAGGTACATGGAAAAAAAATGTGGGAAAAGATGGTAAATCTATCAAACCTATTAAATCAAGAGAAGAATAAACAATTCAATTTTTATTATATTACGTTAATGTTTTTTTTTCTGCCGCTAATATGCACATATAAACACTGTCTAGATCAGTTTTGCGTACTATGTGCATGTCTATATTTCCTTATATTAGTAATTTTATTTTCTTCTTTCCATATAAAACTAAAACTTTCGTTAAATTAATAAAGGACTTCTTCCATTCAAGTTCAAAATATAAACTTCTCTAGTAAAACTACATTCTTCTTCATATTATCGAAGAATTAGATAAATAAAAGCAATATTTTTATAGCTAAGAACTTGATTGTTGATTGCATTTATTTTCGAATGATTTTACAAATAAATATTTTTCCGGAATTATTAATGTATACATATGCGTGAATTGTCTATAGTCAAGATCAATATTTCAAATTTTCAGCAACATTTAATTTTAAGTTTTTCTTTAAAACATTTCGCAAAACATTTGGAAAAGAGATTTTAAAGAAAAAAACTACGTCATATAATATTCAACTAGTTATTTTCTGAAAATAGAACAATTCCCTCTGTTACGGATCATACTGCTTTCAATTTTCACCTCATCAAGTTCAAAGCGTGAAACCAAAGAGACACATACGTGAAGGAAATTATCCAAGAAGAATGACTCAACTTCTCACCGAGCTATACTAACTAGTAGATTAGATTTGAAATATCCATTTGACTGTTTGTCTGATGATCTGATCCGTTTAGTTATGTACTTATGAAAATGGTGACATTTATCGAGCAATAATTAATGAACAAAATGTTGCGAAGTATTCTTGTTTCATAACGTACTTGCTCTGTTGAAATTCGTTCATTGCAGAATGAACACATCTATTTTCAATTTTTATTCACAATTGTTACTAACAGTGACATGATACAAAGTAATATCAATAAGTTACGTGTAATACTTTGAGGATTCTCCTCCTTTTTTCAATGTATTTGCCTAGAGGCAAATAGAGTGAAAAAAGGTAGAAACCTAAAAAGCTTGAGTCTATAGTTAGAACATCGCAAACAAAGTCAACGTATTTCTGCTCAGAACTTTCTAACATGTTCTTCCATAGGTTTTCATTCAATCACGTTATGACATCTCAGAAAATGGTTCGATCAAGTTCAAATTTTACCACAGATACTTCAGCCCCTATCTCAGCTAAATTTTTTTCAAAAACAGACTTTCTTCTTGAGATATTTGAAAAAAAAGGCTGAAAAAATTCTTTGTAAAAAGTCACTTTTTGATTTGAAAAAAACCGTCTCACAATGAAAATTGAAGTTGAAAACACTTTAGAAATATTTAGAAGTTAAGATTGAGTCTGTAGTTAATCGTATCATTTTTTCGAGGGATCGTGATGTGACTGGATTGGAACTACAAGTGTTTTGAACATGATAGATCACATTAAACCGGTCACTTGTGCAGAGCATTCTTGACAATGCGTAGTTCCCTATGAAAAACCATCGGGAATTTTTGGAAGTGATCTCATTGTGAAGAGAATACTTTGCTCTATCAGACCATGTATAAGAAATAATTTTGAAAACACTGGAAAGAAAAAGAATTTAGAAAAGTAAAACAATTCAGTTTGTATATAAACCTTTTTTACTTGATCGACTGATATACAGCTAAACGGTGAATGTGATTTTTGATTCTGTCATGATAATAAATGTTGTAGAATTCATTTCTGGTATTAATACTATCATGATCTTTCGAATTTCTACTACCTATGATTAGCGATAATGAAGTTAATTATTAATTGAGGTAACCGATGTTAATACATACAAAAACGTTATTATATATTTTCCAATGGTTTTATATCTGTTTTTAAATTCTATTTTGGATTTCTAGAAAAGTAATGGCTTCAAAAAATTGCTTTCAATTCGAATGAAGAGAGTCGGTCTTATCTCTACTTCTGTTGCGGCATATCACATTACTTGCCTATTCGTATGAATAGACAATAACTGAAGAATGTTAATATCGGAAAGTGGTGAGAATACCTATTATGTTTTGCTAAGGAAACATGGTTTGTTATTGTGTATAGTGAACATTTTCCTATGATTATTTTATATTAGTAGAACATAATAAAATAGCAACGTGTACGTATAGAGAAAAATGGTACAATGGATTTACATCAGTGATTGAATATCTAACAAACACATAGTATAGTTCAAGTTTTCGTTAAAAAAATTGAGCAAGATATCTGATGTTTGATTAATTTCTCTTTCATCATAATGATGAAAAGACGGCTGTAATTCATATAGCTATTCAAAAGAAAATTATCCTAACTCATTCAAAATCAAACGAAGAAAGCTTCAAAATTGAGTATCCTACATGTTTATGTCTGCAAACCCGATGAATTGGAGTAGTCTTGAAAAAAGTGTGATGTGTTTTTTGAGGGGAATTACTATAATTTTGTTTTCAACTGCCATCTTATGAAAATTTCGGAATATTTGATCTGATTCTAAGTCAGGGATAGACGATAATCTACGTTTTTATTTATCTTCAACGTTCCTGAAACTCACTCAAAGTAGCTCCCGAAGAACATGCATGTCATTTGAAAAATGAATAGATTAACTTAGAATTGTACACAACAACCTAGAGATTCTAACCGTCACATACTGAAATCGTTATGCAAAATATATCAACGAACGATTTCTAAAACGGATAATAGTCTATTTTTTCTCTGAGTTTTTAATACATTTGTATAAGTACGTTTAGATTTTTGCATCATAATGACGGCCCTGGAAAAGAGAAATACACAATACAAGTATATACGCTCACATACACACGCACACACACACACACATTAATATAGAAAAAGTGTGACTAAAATGATATCACCATGAAACATATATAGCATCTACAATACTATTAAGATGTAAGTGAACTCATTCTAAACTGTCTCAAATTCATTGCTTCAATATCGGACGATGTTAATAATTGTTTTCCTTCATGATAAAAAAATGGTTTTTGTTGTGAAGACGATGATAAATGTTGTGGTGGAACCATTATTTGAGCTGAGTCATTAACTTGATGATAAGCGATACTAACTCTTCTCGGTGATACACGATTTAAAGCATAAGTATTAGTCAATACTTTATGATTTTGTTTCAATATGGATGGTTGTTGTTGATGATCAGATGACGTCGACGGTATTGAACCACGGCCTGTAGGAAGCGTATCTTTCATACGAAGGACAGTATTAGCAGCTGATGCGCTGACATAATGTCCATCTTCGTCAGCCGGCATACCAAGTGAGGATACACGTTGCATACGATGGCGCTATTAGAAGAAAGATAACAAATAAAACAATAACCAATCTTGCTATTAAAAAGTAATATTAAAGCTAAGTTCTTCAAGTCATACCCACAGCCGATACTACATGTTTACTGAAGATCTAGAGGAACCGTCTGTCTCAATTTCATTAACCATGAGAAACAGCCCTTGTATCCAAAATTGTAACTTGAAATTGTAGCAAGTGATCAGATAATAATCGATACGAAAGTATTTACTTCGTACCTTCATATCTTTTAAAATTCAGTAAGCAAATTCTAACACATCTTATAGTCCGTTTTCTGCTCTTTCGTTTGACCTATCTGTGTACTTTCCTTACTGCCGTTTCTTACATCATTTTGATCACAGCGTCTAAGCTTGATCATAATTTAGGAGATCACCTATGAAAAAACAAAAAACAACACGAACACTAGTTTCTCTACAACCAAATATTACGAATCGTTAAATAATTTGGTCAAAATAGAAAGCATCACATTTGATCGAGCTCAAACTGAACTTTGTTATGACGTGAAATAAGTTTTGATTTCTCCAGAGAAACTAATAGCTAAGAAAAAAAATATTTTCTCTTCCTTCAGTAGTTGCTAGGTACATACACGAAGTATTTTGGACCATAAATTTAGGTTTTAGTTTTCTCATCACAGTTCAGTACCAATTGGATGTTTTCTTGCTATACTTTCGGTATTCGAAAGTAAAAGATGAAACCTCTGAGATGTCAAATGAAAGAGCTGAATATAGACGAGAAACGTAAGATAAATCGATGAGAGAACTATTAAAGATATGGAAATACAAAGTAAATACATTTGTTCGGAAACTTTTCTATCACTCGTTAATTCAATAATCATGCTAACCAATGCAAAAGCAGTTTCACGCGTAGTAATGTGACGCAATCAGAGAAGAAACGCTCTTGCCGAACATGAATAATAGCTCTTGACAGGAGCTTTTTATTTAGAGTCAGTTTAGTCAATGTTGAATTATAATGATTGTTGAATTATAATGCAAATTGAGAATGATGATTTCAAGTCATAAACTTTATTATAATTAGTATGCGTTGTTTCATGCTCAGTTTCTGTATTTTTGTGGCATTTATGTCGTTCAGAATATAATCATGCTGGTTTTTTTATGTTCTTGTGCTTGAATTTTGAATCGAATGGTAGAAAAAACATTATGTATAACATTGCTTACATGTGAAAGTTCTTGTGCATCAAATAATAACTGTAAACATATAAAAAAAATATTTTTCCTTATAAGAGCTTTGAGTATTTTTAATTACGAACGATTGACATTCATTCTTTTTCGGTCATGAACTAGACAGTTCTATCAGAAAAATCAATAAATACTGATAGATGTGTCAAAAATCAACGAAAAATGTCTCACTATTACCGTGAAAAAAGTACTTAAACAATTAGAATAACAGGAACTGTTAATTACTTACCAAATAATCTTTATCTTTTCGTTTCATTAGTCTTCTTCTTCTATACGTCTACAAATTGAAAAAGCAATATATTTTTTAAAAAAATTTCCGATTTATACTAAAAATCTCACCACAAAGTACATCCATAATAGAAAGATGATGTGGAATAATGTGTATAAAACAGCCAGTGTAGTTAATGCCCATACATCCCATACTGGAGCCATTTTTGATGGTACACAAGCTATAATTGCATGCCACGCACATACTACGCATAACAATACCATGGATAACAGAACATATTTATCCTAAAGAAGATTATCATTTATGAGCTTTTCGTTAGAATAACAAAAGTGAATTACATACCAGGGTGGTTAGATAAGATATTGTTGGTAAACATCTAACAACAACCCATTTGAATGTAACTGCTGTCAGTAATAACGTAAAACTCAATTGTAAACGATTTTGAGGTAAATTATAGGTTACAGAAAATGTAGCAAAGGCCATCACAGTTATGAAAAACTAATTAGAAAACGAAAAGTTAATGAAGATTGATAGTCATAACTTTATGATACTTACAATAAGAAAATAAACATTCCAATAGAAATATCCCGGTCGTCTTGCAGCACGACCTATTAATTATAGCAAAAAATGGCATATGTATTATGAGCGACGAACGATCATTGTCAAACTACACATACATGTGGCTGAAAAAGCTGGATGCTGATTTTGTGAAGGTGTAAATGGGCTTGTTAATAATTTCGTTGATGTTTCTACGTGTTCATGAAGTCTCCATTCTTGTTGATCAATAAAAGCATCTAAATTAGTTTTACTACATAGTCAAATGACGAGAGATATATGATAGAAAATTTACGTGTGTTAATTGCACTCAGTTGTATACTATCTTCCACTAGCTGTACTTCGTTTACTGTCCGAGTTGTTGTTAAAGTAATAGTCAGATCCTGAGAAAATCATTCACTGTTATTATCATACAATCTGATGAAATATGATTTTGTATACCTGTACATCAACTGGAAAATCATTAAGTTCTAAATTTTCAAGAAAAACTCCTTTGACTTTTCTCATTTCATAAATCATTGGTATTTCTGCTCCATCATAAACAATTTTATGCCAAACATCATTTCGTAAATCCCCGACTACGTTATCAATAAATAATAAGGGATTCCAATATTTTGCTGGATCAAAATTATCCAAATCCTAGTAAAAAACCACAATCTTTTGAATTGTCATTTTTCTTATCAATAATGAAAAGCTGAGAAAAATGAATATAGCTTGGACACTATTAGGCAAAAGAAGAATTTAATTCAGACATTATATTTAAATATACTCGCATACTGTTCCTTTTAAGCCCGGTTCATGCCATTTTGCTTGTATAAATGCTTCAGCTTGAAATTGTTCTTTCAATGTATCAATTTCACCAATTTTTAAGAATACCAATCGAACTTCTACTGTAACCTATAGAATAGAAAAGAAGATTTTCATGAAACTCTATACTCTTTATGTCCGAGAAGACAACTATCTGTCTATTTGTAAAACATGCTTGTATCTGTCAACACTTGAAAGATCTAAGATAATCAAATGTATACAAAAATATGCAGAGTAAAACATTCCTATAGTCTGTGAGTGTTATATTGACTCTTTCTTTGAGAGTTCGCGATCGTTAGTTACTCATGAGGTATTTTACAAATACTCCAATCTTTTTAGGATAATAATGTGTGCATTTTACAAATTAATAATCTTTTCAATGCTTTAAAAATCTATTATTTATAAATATTTATTGATGCTAACGCTATTTATTTTCGCAATATTAGTTTCTTTAAGATGATATGTAATTGAGCGAAAAGCTGTTTATTGAATGTTCACTCGAAAAGATAGCACAAAAAATATAGTACTTGGATAGTATACTAAAAAGAACTACACGAATGCTCAACATACATATCTTGTATTATTCAGTGATCTACACTTAGGATGACTAACTAACCTAATGTCTGCTACATTAGTAACATCACATCAACCACCAATCAGTATCGTATCAATAGTGTAATCTGAACCAAGCATATGGACAACATGCTGGAAAAGTATTTGTGTTGGGCTATTACTAATTGCTTGTGACATTCTTACATTAATTACACATAGAGAAAAAACATTGATTACAAGATGTTTTGTCATTTATCACAATCAATACTGTAAAAATAATCTAAAAAAACAACTAAAATTAATCTTACTAGAACACTTAAATTACTTAAATTTGAATTAATATACAAACCCACTTCTACAGAAGTTATTTAAATTATAAATGCATTACAAGAAATGATAACACTAATAAATGGTAAAAAAAGCTCTATTCACATTATTTGTTATGTTAAGTTCAATATTAATAGCAAGCGAATGTTATCAGTTTTTACAATATATGAACGATTGTAAGGACCTTTACAAGTACCTCCATCATCTGCTTATGCAGTATCACCACTTCAATATCCCAAACCTTACTAAGGCTGATAAATAAATTCACTTCTGCATAGCAGATACTTATCAGCCTTTTAGAAAACGTTTCACACAGACAACTGAAAGCTTATTCGCACCATGCACTATAAAAAGTTGAAATTGAATGAACTTTTGTTCTATATTAATATTTATATGGTTTCTGAAACGATCTAATTGTCAATTTCGAATGATCAAAAAAATTACACACTAGTTCAACTAATATTATAGGCAACAAAAACTTCATCTTTTGGGTCATTTATCTAGATTTAGTGCTGTAGAAATCTAGATGCACGTGCAGTTGAGTCTAGATAAATAATCCTAAAAAATTGAGTTGTTTTTGCTAGGGATGTCCAAAATACTCACCGCTATTTTCAGTCTTATTCGGAGCAAAAAGTTATACTGTTTATGGATTACTCAATTCTCAAATCGTATGTCACATATTGTCTCGCTTTTCACGTAACCATGAAGGTAAAGCAATTGGCTTCTACTCTAGGCTAGTTCTCAAATTCGCGATACATTTATCTTTTCTTTTTGACAGAAAACTTACTTGTTCTAATTTGTGTATACCACTATTATCATCAACTGGTCTTGCTGCTTGTTTTTCACATACTTTAACAATAAAATCTTTTAAGTCCTGTAGTACTTTAACATTTCGTTTAAAATTCGTATTTAATTCTGATAAAACATTTGTTAATTCTTTTAAATCTGACTGTTGCTGATAATTACTACCACCACGATGTGGATAATTATGTAATTTGTGATAATTTGTAACAGGTGATGTTGAAGTCGACGATGGTGCCAGGGTTACAGGTGAGTGCATAGTACGTTTATTAATACGATAGGAAAGTAATTAAACACCATTAAATAATAAAATTAAGCAATGAGATATAGTTGACATCGAAGTATATACTGATATGAACGATAATCCATTAGATTGCTCTTTTTACTACGAATAAACGAATAACTATGTATGGATCTCATTTCTAAATGTAAACATATAATTGTAAAAACAAAAATAAGAACTGTACCTGAGACTTTCGTACAAAAAAGACTAATACCAAATACTCAAGATAAACATAGAGTTGGCTTTGCAAGGAGAGAAAGGAAGGTAGGTAAAAATATACATAGTGTGCTTGCCAATGATTTAATTGTAAAAAAATAGACTAGCAGCATGATTCTATGCTCAACTGAACATTATTAAATACTTTCTTATTTTCTTGAATTAGTCTGTTTTTTTACTCTCTACATGTCTGATAACAAATGACACACCTTTGCTTCAATCAATTAAACAACTGCCGTCACTTACTCAACAAGGAAAAGAGAAAACCTCTCTATTTTCTTCTATAATATTTGATTCCGATATACATCATTATGTATAGAGGATACATACATTTTTTCGTCTTTTCTTTTCCATTTATTTTCCATATACAAGGAAGTATCAATAAGAATATATAAATCAGTTCATAAAGACAGAAATATAGTCTAGTCTGGCTCATTAAGTTTTAACAGATAATAATCGTACATGAGCGTACATAGATTATAATTTTTAATCAAACGATTTCTAAAACTCTTACTATGATAAAATTATTGGATATTTTATGTGTGCAATCCTCTTTATATGTTTTGTACGACATTTAGACAAAAAATCTGGGAAAAATGCGTTTTGATCACAAAATTTATAATTAATTAAACGAAAGAAAATGCAAAACAAAACAGAAAATTTGATCACTGAGTAATTTGCTGAATCGAAAAGTATTAAAAAATCTCTTGATCAAAATTGTTTTCTCAACACACAATCTGGATTCATCGACGACCTTCATCTGATCTTTTACCTAACGCTGGTCCTGTAAAAAAATAACGTTGATTGGCGGGCATTCTGTAGGTCTGCCAATGCTCGTAGGTGTGTGTATACTTGTCGAAAGATTCCAACTTTTAGGTGATAGTGCTACAAAAGTCTGTTGAACCGTAAATTCTATATGGTACGCCTGTACATGCCTGCCAGATGATTCTCTGTTTCTTCAGCTTGCTCTTACAATGCTATAAGAAAAACTTTTTATGAAAAAATCTATGGTGTTGAGAAAACAACTTTGATCAACAAAAGATCAGAAGAGATTTTTTGATCAGTTTTTAATGCTTTTTGATTGAACAAATTACTCAATGATCATATTTTCTGTTTTGCTTTTCCTTTTCATTCAACTAACTAATTATAAATTTTGTGATCAAAACTCACTTTTTTGATGATCAAAAATGTTGATCTTGAACATTAAATAAGTAGGTACTCTTGTGCATTATGCGCTTTGCCGTAGTTGCGTAGTTTTTTTCTTCTTCTTCACTTTCATCTGTGGAATTGTTTGTCAGTGAAACGTTGTAGCTATACATTCTTTTAACTATTTTCTTAGTTAAAACAAGGCAAGTTTGATTATCGTTTACGCACTAGAATAGCTCTGGGGTGAAAAATAGAAAAGGAGAAAACACTTAAAAAAATCCGATATTTTCTTATTTTAACTGTGAAAATTGTTAAAGAGATACACAAAGTCACATTTAGTCAACGATGATATCTTTGACGGAAAAAATTAAATCAATCAATAAAAGACGATCGAAATTAAGCATGAAATCTTCCGTCTCTCTTTTTTTTTAACATGTAGTCAATTGTCATCGTCGTTTGTGTTATTTATTCGAGGCACTTACACTAAATAAAACTGAAAACAAAACGATTTCTTTAAGCGTTTATTATAAAAACATATAGGATTTTAGACGAGAATGTTATAAAAGATAAAAATAACATTGACAAGTCACCAATGTGTCAAATATGATATATGATACCATTTCTCGAATGATTATATTCTTTTAACGATTTATTTAAACCACATTTTAACCATCACTCTCGATTTATTCGGAAATGATTTGGAAATGAACTGACTAAACAGTGCATAGGAAAAAAACAAACTTTTGAATAAAAATTCTTCAAATACCAAAGTTTTCCAGAGGACTGTAAGATATTTTTATATTTGTAATATACTCTACAAAGTGATATATGTAGATGGATCAGTGAGATATTTGACTAGCTATTAAAAATTTAGCGTTTTTATTTTTACTGCGACAATCTTATCTATTATTTATGACATAGTTTTCCTTAGGCATAGTGTAATAAGAACAAGTATTTAAAGATGTCGTCATCGTAAATAGTCTTGTCAAATAAACAAATCTCGTTTGTAAGCAAATGAATAGGTGTACACTCAATGTGGAAGTTTAACAGGATTAAATATTCAGTCGTTTTTTTTTTATAACATTGTTGTAAGTTTCGTCAAAAAAAGAACAAACTTGTCTTTAAAAGGGTAACTAACAAATATTGAATAGATATTTATAGTGACTACTGGACTATGGGAATAATAAAGCTTTCATTCCCTGCTAACTAGCACTCATGAATCATCAATAATGTATTTTTTCTCCTACTATTTTGGCTGCCACTTAGACATTTGGTTACGAGAGCAGCAAAAAATTTTTTTAATAAACACTCACTCAAACTTGTACATATGTTCATATGTTTATCAGATTTAGTTTTGTTTGTCTTTTCTTACACCACATTGTCAAATTTATGTTTTGTGGTGTTTTGATAGAGATAGAAAGAAACGTTCTGTCATCAACTTATCGTGACAACTTTGTTTAAGTTTTGATTATGCTGATGGAATCATTTGATGATGATGATATCAATCAATCAGTCAAAAATTACGTACACAGCTTTTCTGTTTTTCTTTTTTCTTTTCTTACAGCCTATTGATATCATCTGGACTATAAGAAGCAAAACTTTGTCAAACAGCTAAGGACAGATAAATGATAGCGATAAAAATAGGGAAAAAGGAGAGAATACAATCTGAATTTACGTCTAATATTACTTATTATTATTATTATTATTATCATTAGTCAAAATATACAAATTGTGTATAGAAATCTACTTGCACTACAAAACAACTTGTTCAAATGGATAGGAGACATTTTTTCTGTTACTTTCTTTTCTCCTCAGATCTCATATCCTTAAGAGGGAGGGCGAAATAAAAAAAACAATTTATTAATGTGCCATTAAGAAATGTTGCGTATGCGTGTAACCACCTTCTGCGATCACTTACTCTCTATTGATTTTAAGATCATTTAAGATCATCAAGTCGTAAATTTATATGATGTATGTAAAACGATTGTGATAAAGTTATTTCAATGTCTTACATTACAGAAACTTTTAACATTTTTTCTATCAGCAGACAACGACGGTAGCTTCTATAATTCACGATTTTTGATGTAACAATAAAAGACAAAAGTTTCTTTCTCAGAAAACTTACTTTAATACAACAGATTTTTGTACTAACAAAATGAAACTCAAATCTAATGCACTATTTAAACTTTTCGTCATTGATTTGAAGTCCAGCATGGACGTCTTAGACTCCTCTTGTTCATAAACAGTTTTGCAAGCCTATAGTTTTTTTTCTGAAGACTTCAAGACGCTTTTTTTACTTCATTAGAACCGCCAGTAAACGATCATTAAAAGCACGCATAGCTTTTTCTTTAATTTTGTTCCGTTACCGAGAAAACTCGCTTTTTCCAAATCAATGGCAAAAAGTACGTAAATACACTCGTATTTTGATATTTTCACCATCATATTTCAATTTCTTTGCAAAACTAATGTGACATACGGAATTACCATCAAAAATAGAGTCGAATGAGGTTCCTCACCGTTCTTTTCGACAACTTCGATTTTTTTCGAATTTCTTCACCAAAAAAAAACTCGCGACATTCACCAAAATACAAAAACTATCTAAAAGTTTTCAGACAGATCTCATTCGACGTCATTGATTTGAAAAAAGCGAGTTTTGTCGATAACGAAACAAAATTAAAGAAAAAGCTATGCGTACTTTTAAAGCTCGTTTAATGGCGGTTCTTATGAAGTAAACAAGAGCGGCTTGAGGTCTTCAGAAAAAAAACTAGATAGGCTTGCAAAGCTGTTTATGAACCTTTTACAGGAGCAGTCTAAGATGGCCATGCTGGATAGATCTTTGACTTCAACCTCGATCAAGCATCATTCTCATACTCAGTTTTTAATGCTGAATGTGAAAAAAACACTTTCAAAAAGTTAGAGAACGAAAACGGAAAAAATTTGAATTTTTTTGAAATTGAAAGGTTGTTCGAAATTTAGACCTTTCGAATTTTTTCAATTTTTCTTCCTTACAATGGTTTTTAAGACAAATCACTCTTTCGTACTTTCGTACTCAAAATATGCTTCATTTTTTTATCTTCAACATATCTTTCCTATTGCAACAAACAAATAGTTGCAGCGTAAAAACTATCTCGGTGCTAGAACACTTCTGGCAAGTTTGGTAAAATGATAAGTACGAATATCGTCAGTATTTGATAAATATCATCTAGCCCTCTTCTTTAAGCCATAGCTTGACAAGTACATCATTCAAAACATAAGAAGAATGTGAGAATGAAGTAGAGACAAGCTATACGAACATGATTTTTTTAGCATGCCCATCATTATCTTTGTCTTTTGTCTTTACATTCTTTTCATGTTGTTATTTTTTTATGAGATTAAGGAGAGAAAATATCATGTCGTACATTTGCCGAAGTCTGCAACAATACAAAATCAAAGCTAAAAATTCAGTTTATCATATAAACAACTAACTCATTTTTAGCTTAGATAGATTTTCTTATTGTTATTATTTAGCATTGATAGAATAAGAAGAAAGAAAAACTTTATTCCTTTTCCGTAACCTTAAAGCGTTGATTTATGTAATATATTATTCTACTTACAAACAGCAGGCGTTTTTAGAT